ATCGAGTTATAATTTTGAAAAATATTTAACATCATTGTTTGTGAGTTAGTTATAATATATATAATAGTGCGTAAAATATGCTGTAGATATCATGGATATGTAAAATAGACTTATTTGCCGATTAATTCAATGATTATAATAATAAGAATATTAAATCAAAAAACACGAATTAAAAGAATGAAAAATAATGAACGAATATCAATAATGCAAACAAAAAATAGGACGCCCGTAAAAAAATAAAAAGTTTCTGTTCGAAATACAGAAATAAAGAAGACAAAGCTGTACTTTGCTGATTGATTATCTTCGAACGCAACTATAATCTATGAAGAATTTTTCACTTCACCTATTTTTGATTAATTTAATAAGACTAAAGAATATATATGATTTCCACATTTCAGCCCCAAAGGGGCTGCGCTAACAAGCTTTCTCAATCGTTTTTATTAGGTTGGCTCGGGTGCAATCGGTTGTGAAATGTTGAAAAATTTTGCTATGATGGGTATCGGATGTGAAAAAAATGGTACCGTCTTTCTAACCGATATGGATTCGATTGAAAAATCAAATTTAAATCGACAATTTCTGTTTCGTTCATCAGATATTAGCGTAAGTTTACTCTTTAGATCAAGAATTATATTAGATTCAAGTTTGTTTTCCAATGATTTTCTAGCAAATGAAATCGAAAGTAGCAGCAGAGGCTGTCCGAAAAATGAATCCGAATATCAATATCGATGCTTATATAGATCCTGTTGGACCCGAAACTGAACATCTCTATTCGGATGACTTTTTCGAGCAACTCAATGGTGTGGTCAATGCACTTGACAATGTCAAAGCACGTAAGTATCGAAAAGGATCATTTATTTGCAAACCAAAAAGAAAGTGATGAAGGGTCTAGATAAGATAATCTCGACGCTCACAATTTCAGACAAACGAAGGAAGTTATTTTTCATTCTGATGGAATCAAACTTTCTTCTTTATTGGCTTCAACAATAGACGGCAGTTTTGTTTTTCTTTATCTAATGCGAACTGATTAGTGTCGATATTTTCTCGCTTAAGCTCCATATTTTTTTTTCTGATTGTCGAATCTTTTGATCTTCTATCTTTGTAAATCTCATTATAACATGAGGTTGCGTCAGGAATCAACTATGTAGTAATGGTTTGACATCTTTCATAAGATCGATGATTCATGCATAAACAGATGCAAGATGTGATGCTTAGTCAGCGAAATGAAAACTCGCAGACTATTTCAGTTTTCTATTGAGCTCATCATTATCATTAACTGTTTCTGTGAAGGTGACGGCGTGATCATGGATCAGTTCACCGACATTCTCTGCATCGATATTGTAAAAACGGATATCTCTATAGAATGTTCGAAAAGAATAAAGTACTCTTGAAACAAGGCAACGTCTGAGACTCATTGAGGCTTGTTCGACAGTCTTTCGTCTATTGAAAGTAATACTAGGTAGCTTATTCAAGAGCTGCATGTGTTTATCAACTGTTTTTATTCTGTAGGACAATACATTGATCGTCGTTGTTTGTACTATCAGAAGCCATTAATTGATAGTGGTACGATGGGTACGAAGGCAAGTGTTCAAGTCGTTGTACCTTTTCTCACTGAACCATATTCGGCAACACATGATCCAGCCGATGCATCGATACCCATGTGTACGTTGCGTAATTTTCCGAATTTAATCGAACATACCATTGAATGGGCACGTGACAATTTTGAGGGTCTATTCACCATTCCTGCACAACAGGTCGAAGAATTCATACGTGATTCGAACCAATTTGCGAAACGTATTTCACAATGTAATACATCGGCAGACAAGAATGAAATGATTGAAAATGTCAAGCAGATACTCGCCTCTGAAAGACCTAAAACTTTTTTCGATTGCATTGTTTGGGTATGGTATAGTATAGATATTTGTTCAAAGTTATTTTTCTCGACTTCATCATTCTTCTAGGCCCGAAATATTTTTCAAAAACAATTTTATAACAATATTGCTCAACTGCTCTACAATTTTCCACTGGATCATGTAACGAAGACAGGTGAACGTTTTTGGAGTGGCAACAAACGATGTCCACATCCGATTGAATTCGATGTATCAGATAAGACTCACCTGGATTTTATTGTTGCTGCATCGAATCTTATCGCATATATCTATGGTATTCCTCAAGTACTCGATCATAGTAAAATTGCGAGTGAAGTTGTTAAAGTTAAAGTACCCAACTTTGAACCAAAGACGGGTGTAAAAATCCATGAAAATGATGAAGAAATACGGGCCGAGATGGAAGAACAAAGCCGCCAATCGGTTACGACATCGAATAATGGCGAAGAAGAAATTAAAGAGATTCTTGCTCAACTTCCAAAAGCTGATAAGATCCGTGATATTCAAATTCATCCACACGAATTTGAAAAAGATAACGATACAAATTTTCATATTGACTATATTGTGGCGACGGCGAATTTGCGCGCCGAAAATTATGATATTGAAACAGCTGATCGAAGCAAAATTAAACGTATTGCTGGTCATATTATACCGGCCATTGCCACTACTACGGCGATGGTTACTGGTCTTGTTTGTCTCGAAGTTTACAAACTTTTTCAAGGTCAAAAGAATATCGAATCCTATCGAAATTCATTCGCCAATCTGGCATTATCTTTCTTCAGTTTCTCAGAACCTGTGCCACCCACTCGAAAAAAGGTAAAAATCAATCTTATGTACAAGTTTGAATAAGATCCGTATTTTTTTTCTTTCAAAAGTTAGAATAGAAAATAATGTTTAGATTTTTCTAAATGACTCTTTACATGCAGATGAACATTACCTATTAATGGAAGTATTACAGAAATTCGAATAGACTTCGATCATAATTGATTTTGATATTGATTTTTAGTTCAACGTAAAAGAAGTCAGTGCGGAGTAAAAAATTCTTTTGTAATCAGAAGACAACCGAAACCAAGAATTCAAGTTCTCTCACTTTTGTACGACAACCGAGATGAAGCTCGAGAGAAGTTTTACACAAGGATTACAACTATTTTTCTAAGAGATAAAATGTTGAACAGCACTGTGAACATTTATTGGTATCACA